AACAAGCTTTAATCAAAGCTTCTCAAGCTTTGGTCTTGCCTTTGATCCTATAGAAGGCTCTCAACCCTCTAACAATGGAAGAAAACTGAAAAATCAAACAAAGAAAACAAGATAAAAGAAGTAAGTTGGACATGATTAAGCATGTAATATGATAAAAGACAACTCTTAAACCCAAAAATTATGAGATTAACATAAATATCCGACTTATTGACCAAGTAGAAAAATCACAAATTCGTTGAAAATTAGTCACCAAAACTGCTTCTCTAGCTTCACTCTCTAATATTTAGTAGTTAATCAAGTTGGATGGGTGGTTTACCTAAAGGTCGGAATTGAAGAACGAAAGAAGAAGAAGAAGAAGAAGGAGGAGAAAGAGAAACGTGCGATGTAGAAGAAGATGGCAATAATTTGTGGTATAATTTGATGGTTTAAGCCTTTGAATAAGCACTAAGGGTATTTTGGTCTTTTTCTCCAATGGTAAGGGGTGTTTTGGTCTAATTCTCCAAATATTCTTCCAATTAAATTACCCTGTCAAATTTATTAGCTGCTTTCAATATATCTTCACAAAACATCTCCTAATTATTCATAAAAATACATTCCTCAAATTTCCTCCAAAAATATTTGCTCAAATTTTCCTTATTTAATATAACACCATAATCACTATTCAGCTAAATGTATCTAAATTCTCTAAAAATATTCCTTAACTTTAACTTTTCTACACACATAAAAACCCTGCCATTACATCGCTCCAAAAATGTTAAATAAAAATATAAAAACATAAATAGAAATTTTCCGGACCAAAAATAATTACCAACTTCCGGACTTGTGGTACCTAATTCATAAAGTAACCTACGTGTTAAAACACATAGAATTAAAAATGGGCCGTTACACATCCCAAGTCTTTGATTCGATCCTAACCCGGTCAATAAAACTAAACACTTGCCTATTTAAATTAATCCTCACCAAATCCCCTGGATCAATGAACTTTGCATATACATGTCTGGAGGTATCCCCCCTTTCTTCTATTTCTAACTGTCACAATTCATATCAACTTCATCCCACTATTAACAATAATCTCTCTCATCATCCTCAGCTCGTTGAATACTCGCTCCAACCCTCATCTGAGTCATGATGCATCCATTTGCACCGGTTAGTATTAATTCGCATCTATTTTATTGTTTGCTTTAGGTACATCTTGTGAAGTTTGATGTCTCATAAAGCTATGGAAAATCTTCATCTTCTGAGTCATCTTAATCATCAGTGACTTAATCATCATACCACATCATCATCTACATGGGCTTCTAAATTATGGTTGTTCTCCTCCTAATCTGTATGAATGAAAGGCTGCTCTTCCCTTTCCCTCCTATTAACAACATTTTCTTGGTTTTGAAACATGTGTGAAGTTGGTTTATTTTTTGCCCTTAGTGGATGTTGGCTCTAGACCTATTGGAATGAGACATTTCCTCCACCCCTATCTGGCTAGATACTGAATCACCCGCTGGCTTCCGCCTTTACTCTCTAATGCCACATAACTGAAATTCCCCCTCCCATCTACCCCTTCTTGACCCCTACTACAGAAGAGTGAGACTCCCTAGAGTCCACTCCTTCCAACCCGTACTTGCCAGAAAGTGACACAGCCCGGCTCAAAACCACACTCTCCATCAATTTCATCCCTATAAGTACGACTACCATAGAATATACTGAGTTTGACCTTACCCCTTATTACGCTATTTGGATCAAATGGCCACGGATGTGGAGCTTGATGTTGTTGAGTAGCATATCCTATCCCCATCTTCTTTCAGCAAAATATCTGTCATGTCCCAGAACGCATCCTCACAATTATCTCCAAACTGATCTTTAGCCCATTTGGTTAGTGTTTAATGTCAACAACATCAACCTCAACAATCATTCCTATTTCACCCTACTACTAACTGCCACATACACTCCATTGGAATATACTACATTAGAGGTCATCATCATTAGGTGGGCTTTCAACAACCGAATGGGGATTGAAATATTCCTTGTCACACCCACAAGTTTCAACTCCCTAACTCTTCTTTAAACATCTCAAACATAGCCAGTAAGTAACTAATCACGTTCAATGTTCAAGATATTGTTAACAACAGCTAATATTTACGAGTGAAGCTTGTAACTCTCAAATGCTTGGTAAATGTCACTAATGCAATTCTAAGATATTGATACCAGCTCTGCATCAAATATTACGAAGAAAAGTTGTAATACGATCCTAGCTAAATTAACAGGTAAATTCTTGCAAATCAACAACGGGTAAATCTAGCAGAAAAGATGCAATCAATGGAAAGTACCCGTCAATCCTGACCCCAAGGTACAAACTCTTGAAGAGAAGAAAAAACAAGGAATTTAGAACAAGAATCACAGAAACTACCTTCAAGTACTCTGATAAAACAACTCTGAAATTTCTTCTTCGTGCAATTAATCTTGTAGAACTCAAAAAGCCTATTACTAAAGGAGAAAAATTAGGTGCTGTTCATGGCAAAGATAAGAACACGGTCCATGTTCTTGAAAGAACAAAGAAAACAAACGTTTTTGTTTGATTAACAAATTCCAATTGTGCGCCATGGCAGCCTTACAGAAGTAATATAAATACTAAGCTTAAACCTAATTTAAAGATATAATAAAGCCAGGCCTTAAACCTAAATGTAGCCCAAATGATAATTAAATACACAGTCCAAACTATCTAATTAAACAAAGGCATGACTTAAACATTACTAAATAGGTTGGCCCAACTCTGGAAATAAGCCAACGCAACCTTACACTAATTATTAAGTCCACTAAAAAGAATTAAACAACAGGACCAAATGGGCCCAGAGGCCTTACACAACCCATACTTAAAGGCTCATATATTATAAATAGACATCCTCCATAAATTTGTCCTAAGTATAGGACCATGTAGAATGCATCAATATGCAGGCTCTTTGCACGCTCAAGCACCATTACAAGCTTTGGCGTTTCCTTCAGTTCAAATCTCACATCTGCATAATTATGATGCTTGAAGCTCCAATGTTGATTTGTTCTTGAGTAAATTGCATTCAATGGCTTGCTCGTAGCTTGGGTGTGGCACGAGCTCTTTGATTGGTCCCACGGGTAGAGCTAAGAGGTTCTTCACCTTGCCTCCCTTGATCCGTATCAAGTTGCAACCCTTCTTTCCATAAGTTGCAAACAACCTATAAAATTGGGGAAAACGCATCCTGCATGAAATAGAGTATATAGCGATTATTCATGCTCAAGACAACAAATATCATTCAAAACCCCATATATTTCTTCATTCTACTGAGAATGACATGTTTTTTGCCTGCTCAATTTGCAAAAACTGAGATGACGTTATTTTCGCTCAAAGGTGCAAAAAAATTCGATTAGCTAAACAATGATGTCAAACTAAGGATTTCACTGCAATTTACAGTGGAAAAAGCAAAATTTAAGAGTAAGAGCTAGTGTAAAGAGTTGTGTTTTCATACCTTTCTCGAACAAATTTCTACCGAGTTCTTTTGCCAACCACTCTGTACGAACTCAAACGAACTGATTATGTCTTCAAAAAACTACTTTCAACTACATCGATTTTTATGTAGTATCAGAACCATAGTCGTAAGAAGAGCACTGTGGGTGGTGTTTGTTTCTCAGACAAGAAACCTTTTGGGTTTTTCTTCTTTCCCTTCACCTCTATTATTTGTCCCGTTGTGCATACTTCTAGTTCAAAATGAAAGTTATTTTGTGTGTCCTTTCAGGTTGGCTTAACAGATAGGGATTTGGGAATAAAATGGAGCGGAAAGATTAGAATTGTAACAGATGTGAAAAATTTGAAGGGATATATCTAATTTATTTCCCAAAATACAAGGATATCCAAGTTAATTGGCATTATTTTCTAGACGACAAAAACTCGTGAATTTTTCCTTAATTGTGTTGATATTTGGCTGTAGTTGTAGTTTTGGTATCTGCATTAAAGAAGAAAAGAAAGTTTCTTTATTTTATGAACAAGAGAGTGATGGAGAAGGAGGAAAAGCAAACAAGAATTAGGAATTAGGGTTTAGGTACTCTATTGGTTAGAAAACAGTGTGTTTCAACTTCTAATGTTTTAAGGCTTGGGATAAAATATAAATTCCAAGTAGATTAGGACTGAGAGAGTTAATTTTTTAATATTATTTTGTAAACCCTCATAAATTTGCAGATGAAAGTGACAATATATCTAAATCTACTGAATTGGGGTATCTAGGAGATGCAGGTCGGTATTATGGTAATGACTGCAACAGAGTCGCAAATGGTGTAAGAGTATTTTTATAATGTCGGCCCCCTAAAATAACCGCTAGGAGGAATTTCCATATAAATAAGAAAACTTCCAAATAACCAAAATAACCTAAAATAAAAAAAAAGAAAAATTGTTGAGTAAGAAAAATCCAATTTTCAAACGCCTAAAATTACCTATCGCCGTTGCCATGTTGGCATAACTTATCAGAGAAGGCAACATAGAAAATTCACCTCATCCACCAAACTGATTAGAGTCCAATGCCTTAGAAGTTGCACGGTGATCTTTAATCTAAACGTCGGTTCCTGTAGTGGTCAAAGAAGGAATCCAACCGCCAAACGCCGTTTGGCCTCTCACCTATAAAAAGTAATCTATGGGTCCGTCTTGCCGATACGTTTTTCAGAAAACATCTCGACAACGGACCTCCTGACATATTCACATATACAATACATGCGATTGTGGAATTTTTCAGATCTCTCAAAAAACGAAGAAAAAAGGAAATTTAGTTTTAAAATTGAATCTATAAGGTTTTACGGTTTTCTTTTTCTAAGTATTAATTCTTTTTTTTTTTTTTTTTTTTATTGGATATTATCGTTTTTTTGGATATCTGAAACCTCCAGAGGAATTACGGGAAGTTTTAGGGATTTCTGGTTTCCCGTAATGAACGATCAATCGCAAATGAGATGAATCAGGCCAGGCGCAAATGATGAATAAGCCTCAGATTTTGATACTTTAATTTTTTTTTTTTTTTTTTTGGTATTTCGTTTTTGATTCTGAAAATCCAGAAGGAATTACGGAAGTTTCTAGGGTTTCTGGGTTTCCCGTAATGAACGATCAATCGCAAATGATGATCAGCCAGGCGCAAATGATGAATCAGCCTCAGATTTTGAACCAGAATCCACAGGTTTTGGTTCCACCGCAGCCGATGAACCAGCCTCCGCCGCAGGTGTTGAACCCGGTTCAGTCTCAATCTCAGTCGCAGATGATGAGTCATGGTGGAGCAATTAGCCAGCAGCCGATGATGATGATGAGTCAAAGAAGCTACAAGCCATGGCAGCCGCAGCAGCAGCAACAGTCTTCAATGGATCCAAACAAGAAGTTTCAGAATCAACTAAACCCTTTGAAGTTCAATAATAATATTAATAATAACTTTGTACCATCAAAGCCTAGAAGCAACAAGAACTGGAAGGGCAAAAATGTCAACAACAAAGACCAGAGAAGAATGGAAAAGCCTATTCCTAATCCCAACATTACCAACCCTGCCTTGGCTCTTGGCGGTCCTAGCGGTGCCGGAGGCTATAAGCCTCCAAGTCTTAATGAACTCCAAAGCCAAAACCGTATGAAAGCTCGAAAATACTATCACCCTAAGAAAAAGTTCAACAACCGGTTTGCTCCTTATGCGCCTAGAAACACCACATCTTTCATAATTCGTGCGAAAAAATCTGGTGGAATTGCTTCATTAGTGTCTCCTTGTCCTGTGACTCCAGCTGTATTGCCCACTCCAATATTCTCGCCTTCTAGGGAGGTGTTAGGTGACATGGCAAAGGAAGAATGGGGTGTTGATGGTTATGGATCTATGAAGGGTTTGATAAGATTAAGATCGCCTGGAAATGAAGCTGAGGCGGTTCATGATGATGATGAGGAAGAGGAGGGAAATGGTTCGAGTGAGAGTGATGTTGAAGAGCATGTGGAGGTGGAGAGGAGATTGGATCATGATTTAAGTAGGTTTGAGATGATATACCCTACTTATGGAGGTGTTGGTGTGGATTATAGTTTTAATAATGTTTTGGAGAATAGAGTGGATGATCAGGATACCCATATAGCTCAATTAGAGGAAGAGAATTTAACTTTGAAGGAGAGGTTGTTTTTGATGGAGAGAGAACTGGGGGATTTGAGGAGGAGATTGCAATTCTTGGAGAGGCAGCAAGGTGGTCATGGTAGTAGTGCTATGGCTGTGGAAGATGTTAATGAAGGGGTTGTGGAAAATGTCTCTGAGAATGATGAAAATGAGAATGAGAGTGATGGCCGATTAGATATCGGTGCTACTGCGGATGAGAATCATGTGGAGGTGGATTATGCTGGTGGAAACGGAGAGGCTAACAATTGTGCTAAGGAGAGCCATGATGTTTGTATGGAAGAGGTTGCGCCTAATCATGGAGAACTGAAGGATGTGGACGAGATAAAAAATGGAGCGAGTGAGATTGTAGTTAAAGATAAACTGGTTGTGAAAGAGGATGAAGCAAAGGGTGAAGAGAGGAATGTAGTTGTGGAAAAAGTGGTTGCACAATACGAGTTGTCCAAGGATGATGGTTTTGGGAATGAGATTGTGCAGGACAGAGTGCCTGCAGAGAAGGATGACCACGAGGATGATGAGTCTAACATAGAGAAGAGCATTGGCGGCGGTGACTAGTGTAATTGTCCCGCGTTAATGTAAGTCTCTTCTTTGAATAAACAGAACATTTTCTTATCTCTTTGCACTATGGATAGATGACGTACTTTGTAGATGTAATTCGGTTTTCCTTTTGTTTGTGCTCTTATATTTTGTTGGTCAAGGCGGAAGATAAGAAATAACTGAGTTATTCTCTCTATTTTACTCAGCTTTGGCTTGACAAACGTAGGAAGTAGCTTCTTTTTCTTTTTCTTTTTTGGTTGAGAAGAGCCAATGTTTGGGTTAGGGGCCTTCAAGATGGATGGAAAGTTTGTATTGAGGTTTATCTGTTGAAAGCATAAGTCTGTATGTAGCATTTTCTTTCTCTTCTGTCTGAATATAACCTCGAGTACTGCTAAATCCTTAACCGATGATGTATTGGCTTTTCTTTTGTCTAATGTCAAAACATAATTAGTGTATTTGATATTTCTGCAATTATGGATTTATCTTATTTATTATTATCATGATTCTTAGTGTGGTTGGTTCTGGATAGTTGAGAGGGTTGCTTATATGTATTCATTTATCTTGCGTCTTCTTCCTACCTTTCATTTGGGTATATCTTTAATGTTCTTTCTGGTGGTTTCTCCATGGAATGAACAGCTGTGAGCATGAAGAACAACTTCAAAGTAAAGGTTAGTGGTTTTAATCATTATGAACGTGTGCAATTGAATGATTTGTATTCATTGAAGTGCAAATGTATTATTTCCTTCTGGTTTCAGATAGGAATTGACGCAGGAAAATGTTAAGAGCGTCTGATGTATATTTGTCCATTAGTACACTGTAAAGGAGATTTGGCTGTCTAAACTCTTTAGTGTCATTGTTTATTCCTTAACATCAGTGATAGCTGTAGATTGCTATATGTGACAAATGTTGCTTGTTGCTTTGCAGCTTACATTTTGGAAATTGAACAACTTATTAGGGAACATAGTTTGAATGTTGTTAGAGGGTGGAGGCAGCGTTATACAATTTATACAATTGTGAAATAGGTAAAGCGACTGCTTAAAATGGATTTTGTATCTGTAATTTCAATGCCTTGAATAATGTTTTTCCATGCATCATTATTCATCCAAGATTGCAGTATTCTATAGAAATTAATAGGCAGTATAAAAGTCCTTTCTATTTCTCTTCTGCGGATTTAATAGTGGTACAGTGTAAAGCTTACAAACTGATTGACCCTAATAATTAATTCTAACAAATGGAAGGAAATTGACTTGTAAAACTAATGCTATTATGCACTGTATGTTTCTTCTATTGAAATTAACCTCACTTCATATTGCAACGTTTGATACATCAAAAGAATTCATATTGCAAAGTTTGATACATCAAAAAAAATTGTTCTGCTGAGCAGTTTTGTAGTTTATGCCTCTGTTGAGTACTATATTACTTTGACTTGTATATTGATCATTTTGTATTTATTCTATTGAAATATAAGCTGACTTTTATGGTGATATTTTAATGTATGGAAAAAAAAAAAAAAGAAGAAGAAAAGAAAAATTTACACGGATACACAATTTTGTGGTTTATGCCTCTTTTGTGTACTGCATTACTTTGACTGGTTCCTTTGCTGCTTGGACTTGGTAGTTTCTTGGAGTCCTTTGTTCAACAGGCTCAACATCAGCAGGGATGCTGAATCTGGTATGACATTAGCGAAAGCAAAATGTTTTAGGACATGGTAATTCTTTTTAGAAGGTAGAGAGTTCAGAAAAAAGAAATTTAGAATATGAAGGTTCTTTTTTTATTGGTTATTCCTCAACTGATCTTGATTTATATTGCTGATTTTGATTTGGACAAGGAGATGAATGAGATCAAAGCATTATTTTTCTGTTAATGTTTCATGTGGAAGCATGGGGTTAATTGGAAAAAGGAAACATGGTAAGTTGTCTGGTTTCTCTCTCCTCCTCTTGATTGATTATTATTTTAGTGTTTTGGGATAAACTCATTTCAGAAAGAAATTTAAAAATCACTTCTCCTAAAAAATTTTATAAATAGTTATTTCAAAGCAACTTTTTTGCTTCTTGTGATTAGAGTTGCAAATCCTTCTTAGGTTATTATTGTTGATTGGAAAAAATGTTGAGATTTTAGAAATCTTGTTCCTTGCTCCTCTGTTTCTAAGTTTCTCTTTCTGCTGGTTTTGACATTTTGTGCATTTGACTGGTGAGGTTCCAGAACTTGCCGCTATTTCTTTACTGGACATGTTAATAACAGTTTTTTTCTCCCTTCTTGCACTTGGAACCTTATTTGCACTCTTGAAGTCTTTAAAATACCAGTTTTCATCCTTTTCCACCTTCTAAGATATATATTACTTATATTCTATGTAATTCTATTTGTTATAATTTTGCACCTCTTAATGCTAGCTATATTGCATATAATGCATTCTTGCACCTTGTGTCCTACTATGAGACCTGTTTTATGAGGTTCTTTGCCTAGACCTGATTTTGGACAAGGAACATAGGATATCATAGAGTATATAATTTTACTGCTATACCTGCTGGCTAATTTCAGATGGTTTGGATTAATGATACAAGAATGCAAGGGAGCTATCCAGTTTTGATCAGGCAGATAATATGTGTTTGTATGTACTTAACATATGCTTTTCTTTTCTTGTTATCAAGCTTATAAAATTTGGAGAAATGTGGTACTAAGATCTGCAGGTAATTGTTGTTGTTGCTCTCCCAATGGTATGTGTTTAATTGTATTTGTAGTTGGGAAATCCAAGATCTTTTTGTTCATATCTGCTTTAGGTGAACTTTGAAAACTTGGAAGGAAACAAAAATTGTTGAGCTTGAAATAAGAGTTCACTTGCTATCAAGCTCATTAAAGTTCTATATATATTGCTCTATGCAAATATTATTGCCTATTTTTGCTCCATGCTTGTCAAAACTAAGAAAATAGGCTTCCTTTTATAAAGGAAAGTGTCATTGTCATTTAAATTAAATACAAGTGGGGAAATGAAGAAACAAAACTAAGCCTAATTTAAATGGGCTTCTAACTTCAAAAAAAAAATGGGCTTCTAAAGATCTGATATTAGGTTTCTTAGCAAACCTGTTCTTAAATCTGTTTCTATTCTGAATGAGCTGAGTTCTAAACTTTTGTGTATTTGGCTTTTTTTTATTTAAAAGTTTTGAGTATGAAATTGCTCACTTTCACCAATAAGCAATCATAAATTGGCTTTTATTGATCTGAACCATGAGTTCATAAGAACGGCTTGATGTTTGTAGTTCCTGGGGTCGATAAAGGGGAAGTGGCTGCAACAGTCCAATGTATCAGCCGCATTGTGGTCTCTGTTGTCTGGTGAACCTTGTTAGTCTCTGTTGTCTGGTGAACCTTGTTATTGCAACCTGAACTGAACATGGTATGGTGAGAAAAGCATTCCGTGCATTATGGTTTTTATGCGCCCATATACTTTTTATTAAAAATCTTGTGTCACTTTCAATTTTTACTTTCCTAGGGCTGTTAGAATTATGTTTTTGGCCTAGTTTTTATAGCTTTTAGTGTGTAGGCAGTTATTACCTATTTTATTTATGCATCGTATAATTTTTATTCCATATCACCTAATTGGTATTGTTGATTAGGGGTGTTCATATATTGGACAGTAAATTATGATATTAGATATATTGTATAATAATTGAACGATAGTTTCTTATTAATTAGATAAATTAGATTATTTTCTAAAATATTCAAAAAGATTCATATAAAATTAGATTAATGTATATGTATAAACTTTGTAAACCTGTATTTTTTTTTATAAATTTTGGAAATAGATTTAGTTTAATTAGAATTTAAATTCTATAATTATATCTTGCTTAATTATGATCTTACTAAATATATAATTATATCTTTTTTTTATTAACTAATGAACGTGGAAATTTAATTTCTCTTATTTTAATCTAACAAACAGTCAAACAATTCAAACCAAATTACCATCTAAGATTTGGTTTGAAAATTTTTTATGGCTTGATTTGTATTTAATTTTTTTCAAACTGTCATTTTAGATTTGGTTCGAATATTATATTCAAATTGATCCACGAACAGCTCTATCCTATTGTTGACAAATGATTCATGTTGCCAATTCCGGCTAGTTTAGCCGGTGTTGATGACCTAATTGGTATATTTAACATTTTTTGTTGTATGCGTAGTAGCAGTTCATTATTGGATGTGTTTTGTTCTCTTCCACCTTCACTCTTGTCCTTTTCATTTATTTATTGTAGGTTTCTTGTCTTCTGTTCACTCCATTTATGTATATATAAAATATATTTTTCAAATTTTAATTGTTAAATAAAGTTAAATTTAAATTATTCTGCTAAAGTATGTGTTGATATATTTTTAATAATTATTTCAGCATATTAAAAGTTGGATTTTCATAAATATTTTTCATGAGATGATTATTTATTAAAACTCGATGTTTCATATGTTATTAATATTAGACTATTTTGTGTCGAATTTTAAATTAAATAATGAATTTTTTTTAAGAAAGGAAATTGAGCACCTCTATTTTGTTGTGTGCATGCCGGTGTCCAAAAATTTTAACGCGTAGCCTAGGGTTATTGAAATGCCCTCAATTTTTACTTTCGAATTTTTATTAAATTAAAAAAAATTAGAAATTTTAACTGTGTGGGCTGTGAATATAATACAGTTTCAATTCGAGTCTAAATTTGCCAATTGGGTCCAAGCCGAGCTTAAATTTGCCAATTGAGTCCAAGCTCAAAAATATTTTATAGGAAATTTCGATATAAGAGCATTTAAAATTTTTGAAATAATACGAAATTCCAGCTAGGAGTGGCCATATTACAGTTTCGGCAACCAGAATCGGTGGTTCGAACCGGTCTCGAACCGTAATCGGAATCGGTGGGAATCAGAATCGGTCTGAATCAGAACCGGAACCGAAGATTTTCGGTTCCAGTTTTGTTGGTATCGCAAACCGACGGTTCCATGAACCGGTTGGAACCGGATGGAACCGCCGGTTCTCTGGCCGATTAGAACCGTCGGTTCGAACCGATAGTTCGAACCTGCGGTTGTAGCTGTTAGAAATTGTCAGTTTTTTTTTTTTTTAATTTTGTTGTGAAATCTCTTAATTACTCCTCTCAACAACCATAAACGGCTACATAACGGCTAGTTTCAAGAGTATTTTTGGAAAAATAATTTTTTGGATTTATTATAAATACTTCGTTTCATTTCATTTACAAATCTCTCACAAAAAAATCTCTACTTTCTCTACACTATACTACACTCTACTCTATATTATTCTTCTCTACTTTGCAATCTCTCTTATTATTCTCTCTAATTTTTTTTATTCAATTTTTTTTTTAAAAAAATAATTAAGTTCAAGTCTTTAAAAAAATAAATATTGAAGCATTTTTTTTAATTTTTTTTTAATTTTTTAGGTGTATTTTTTTTAGAAATAACTTTCACAAATTTATTAAATTTTGAAAATCGGTCTTTAAAATTTAAAATTTAAAATTATTCAATTTTCTGAAAAATCGATCGGAACCGTCGGTTTTGAAACCTACCGGAATCGAAACCGTTCGGTTCCAAACTAAAATCGAAATTGAAAATTTTCAGTTCGGTTCCGATTCCGGAACCGTGGCCACCCCTAATTTCAGCAATTTAATCTATTATGAATATATATATATTAATTATCCTAAAATCAAATACTGTTACTATTAATATTTTTATTATTATTGGGTAAATGGAGAAAAAGTTACGGAATCTAACTAAAATAATTAAATAAATCGAACCGAACCCAAAAATCAAATTGATTTTTTGAAAATCACATGAATAACCCGAAAACCAAGTGAAAAACCTTCAAACCGAGCAAAAATCGAGCCAGCTCATTGAATTAGACCAAATCGGTTCGAATCGAACCGGAATGGTCTAGAAACTCCAAGATTTTTCTTTCTTTCTTTCTTTTTTCACTTTTTCTTTTTTTTTTTTCTCCTTCCTTGCGGGAGAGCCACAGCGCGACAGCTACTCCCTCTACTTCCCGTTTGCCGGCCAAACGGCCATCGTCTCCTGCAAACAAGGACTCTAACCTCAATAGCTCAGCGAGACAATCACTCTGGTGGCCTTGGTTCGTGCAATGAGAGCCTGAATCGAGAGAGATCGCGACTGGAAGGCCGCGCCACCGTGCGATGGAGTTCTCCGGCGAAATTCTCACTCCGTCGACTTCAAGTGCTGGGGATGGTCTTGATCGACTCATCTCCTCCAAAAGAACACTTTCCCTCCACTGATTTGCGATTTCGCCTGAGGTTTGAGAAACCACCATGAACGGCGGCACGGAGGTGACTGTGGTGATCGATCCGCCCAAGCGAGACACTATCTCCTCAAAATGACACCAAATTCAACTTCTACAAGTGATTTCGAGCATTTCGGTGCAGGTGTTGCTCGATTCCGGGTCGTTTGGCTTTTCCAGCGAGCCTCCGGCGAGGCACATCTCCCAAATTTCAATCGTACACTCTGACACTAAATTCTCAATTTTTTTTATAAATTCTGAATTAATTAATTAATTAATGAATTTAATTGAGTAATTAAGTAAATTAAATTGAATAATAAAAAATTAAGTTATTGGAATAGCTTAAATATATATAGAACACTTATAGTCTTTTGTAAATAAATTAGATTGGTTAGTATGCGGTAATAGCGATAGCGAATATGTTTAGTTAATTGGTTTAGGATTTTAGAATAATGTAATTGCAAATTAGTTTAAAACATTGTCAAATAAATTACATAAACTATAATTATAATTAGGAGGTTT